CTAAACATTAGCAGGGAATATTATGAATTTTCGTAGAAAGTCAGCCACTATGACAGGAGAAGCTTCCTGTATTCCTTCTAATCGTGAAACCTAGTCACGATCACAATTTTTATGTTCATTTATCGAGATTAAATTGGAATGTATATTATTGTTTGACAACAGAATATTTTGAAAAAAGACACATAAGTTTGAAATATTAAGAAGAAAAAAAAAATATACCATAGAAAACAACTTTATCGACAGTACTTCAAACGGGTGATCACAAAATGTTTTTGGACAAAATGTTTGTTCACTTTTGATTCGCTTGAAAATATTTGCGACGAGTTCAAAGTTATGTGTTATAATCAGAATTTTTCACTCTTTTCAAATATGGGTTTGATGTGGGCCAACGTTTCCGATGTTGGACTTCAAAATGTTGTGTTTAAGTTTGTTCAATAGTAGTAAGAAACTTTTTGAAAGATTTAAAAAAAAGATATTTTTAGTCGTGAGCCAATAGGTTTTTGTATACCCTGTAAGTCTCTTTTCCAACATGCTAAAAATTGTTGGAATCAATCATTTGGTAGAGCAAACACATCTCTACAAAATGTGATACGGAACTTAGCTGTAGCTTTTACTTAAGTGCCGTTGCAAGCATTTCTTCAAAAGCTCCTGTCAACGTAAAAACGGCTGCCAGTTTTTCAAAAATGAGTATTTAGGAAAAACGAAAATTGAGGTGTCTTGTGAAAGGACAAAAGACACGTGAAATACTGCATTTGTTAGGGTAGTTTCTGATGTACAAGTTGATATATAAATAAAGATTCAATCTTTTAGTTTAGAATCAAAATAATGAAAAAACAATAATTTTGCGTACGAACTAAATCTTTTGTTTTTTCAAAAAGGATTTCACTGCTCTCGAACAAAATTTCTAAGCTTATATTCGAAAAGAGCACTAGAGCTTGATCATAAACTGATAAGTTTTGATTCATCAGAAATATTTCTTAGTGGATCAACAACAAATAAAAACCTTGTCTAAAAACTTTCCAATCACCTGTATCTATGTTAAGATACTAAGGAAACAGTTAGAAAAGATTTTTTCTAAGAAGAAAATTGTTTATTAACTCTTTTTAATGCTATTAAAGGTTTCAGAGGTCACTTTTTTACAGCTTTAGTGGAAAACCGCAACATAACTGATTGTTTATGTAACAACATCATTATTTTAAGAGAGATTAAGTGGATTTGTCAAGCTCAGAAGATTTGATAAATCGCGTGGAACTCATATGTTATATTCTCATGAGGAATCTATCCTTTTAAGACTGATTTAGTGTCTTGTACATTCAAATTCTTTGAAATTTTCAAAATATATTAGGACTATAATGAAAAAGCTAGAGAATAATTTTCAGTTCTATCTCAGGATGTTTGCGAGAGATTTTCACCAAGCAAATAGTGTTTTTGATAACTTAGAATTCTCTGTAGACTCTCATACTAGATGTTTAATTGTTTTCTTTGAAATAGCATGTCAAGATGCACAGTTTGAAAGAACCTTTTTTTTTTATTCTCCTACTTTTCATGTGTAAGAAAAAAATGACAAGTTCAACGTGTAAAGAACACTTTAAAAATAGAGGTCTATTTATAGAAGAGCTTGTATATATGATAAAAGCAATGAATTATTCAGAAAAAAAGAACTCAGTCATGACCTGCATCGTGACATATTCTTTAAAAACAAACAAAAAAGTGCACTACTTGAAGCTCGTGTGACAATTCTAGGATGTGCACTTTTAAAAACGCATAAACAGAGAAAGCAAATAAAAATGTTTTAAATTGAAATTTTACAATATTTTAGTACTTGAAACTCTATTAATTGTTTATAAGCTAGTTAATGTCTCTCTAATATTCGCAAAGTTTTTTTGAAACTTAGGAAAACTTCCTGAGATGAATTTTTTGGAATTCATCCGAAATCCATATTTTACCATATACGTGCCAATGAAATCGATCCGTACGAAAAACCATTTTTTTTTCAAAGAATATGATAGGAATCATCGAAAATCATATTAAAAAATAAGTCGCAACTCAACAAACTATTCTGATTATGAAAGATTAGTTCTCAAATTATTCTTACATGTATTTATCTTAATTTTGATTTTTTTTAAACAAAAGTTGTCTTTTATGAAACACAGTCTAGACAGAATGTTGAAGGATAAAGGGTGAAAACTCACAGTCACTCACATCACATAGTGTGACAGAAATTGTTGATATATGATAAAAGACAGTATATGAGTAACGTCCCTTTATAATATATAAACTATTGCTTAATTTGTATTTTTGAATGATTAAGTAAAAGAATGATGAAGAAATTTATCCCAGAATAAAACGAATAAAACAATCTCGTTATGATTATTAACAGCAGGTACGTCGTGTTTCACATTGTAATCTCACAGGAATTGCACGAACAGCTTTGTTTTGAGAGAAGAAGAAAAGACTGAATGAATTTTCATAAATTGATACTGACAACCAACGAACATACACTCAAATCTAGAAGAAAAGAGGAGCGTAATCAACGAAAAACTAGACTGAGTGTTGCCTTACCACCACAAGAAAGAAAAACATTATAGTTATTATGATTGACATTGTTATTTCATAGATTATTTTCAAATTTGCAGAGCACTGTCCTACTAATCGTCATCTTCTTGTTACCCCACTATAGAAAGGTGTCTTTGTGAAGCTACTTGTACCACTAAATATTTTATGAGAGCATCTTCTTTTGTAATAAGTTGTTTTTATTCTCGAGGTTTCTATGCTTTTAACTAAATATTTTCTATCGTCTCTTTAAACTAACTTTGAATAATTTGATTTCCTTCTACATTGTTTCAATTAACGGATACAACAAGAAAAACATTTTCTATAGAATTAAAACGATTCTTAAAAGTAAACATAGATCCTAATGTTAAGTTCTTTGGATCCAATAATACGATATCAATCCTTCGCAGTTATTATGCTACTTGAAGAAGAACTTCGTATAGGACTTTGAATTTATTATGAATAATTTATTCGTTAATAGATATCTTCGAACGGGTACACGACGCGTACAAAAACGTAAAACAGCTATTATAAAAGGAAGTTATAATCCAGAATATCATTCAAAATTAAAATATAATGCATGCAATGTTATGGGTAAATATGTTTAAAAAAAAATACTGTTTTTCTTTTGAACTATTAAAAATAAAAATCAACTATTTCAGGTCGTCGTCTTCAAGTAACAGTATGGCAACGTGGTGGTAAATTTGAAAAAAATCAATGTATTGGTGAAGCATTTATTCAACTTGATAATTTAACATTAAATCAACATACTATAGCTTGGTATATATTATTTCGAGAAAAATTAGTTGAAAGCGAATTTTATGATTCAAGTTGATGTCAGATTTTTGTCTATTTTAATGTGATGATGATGTCGTTATATGTATATATGTATTCATATACGACGAATGTTTATTTTCGTTCTTCCTTTATGGAGATTTATAATTATTGAATATCATTTCGTATATGTATTAAGATTTGGACTGATTTCTCCTTGATTCATTCAATGTAAAATTAAATTAAATTTATTAAACGATAAAAATAAAACATTCAATAACATGTTGATTAAGTATTATTACTGGATCTGAGAATGTCATAAACAAAATCTAAGCTCATATTGATTAACTCTTTAATGGCGAGATAATGAGATATTAAAGAAGATTCATGTAGGCTCGACTTATCTTTTTTTATAATTATCTTTTCTATTGTTTCAATGTAGCGCTCGTTTCAGCTGGAAGTTCATTATCATATGTAGCTAAGGTGTTATTTCATTATCATCTTCTCGTGCTCTAATTCAGTGAAAAGCTATTCATATAATCTTGTTTAATTTGTTAAAACTTCAACATTTATTCAAGTTAAACTTTTTAATAATCAGTATTTCAAGTTTGCAATATTGTCGTTAAACTTTGAATCCATTTACAATGCCATAGTCCAACATCATTGTGCAATTCAAGGAAAAATCTAAATTTTCAAAGCGAGTATCCAATAATGCTGCTGTAAAACGGAAGCATACAAAACCAAATGCATCAAAAATAACAAACAATAATCAAGTTGCAAAAGTGTCACGTAAACATCTTATTGACTCATTAGCTGAAATAGGCATATTAATTCCAACTGGTATAAAAACTGATGTATTACGTCCGTTATATGAAACTAATATTATCGAAGAACAAAAGAAAAAGAAGAATAAACTTACAATTGCATCAGCAATGGCTAAAGCTCATCATAATCAACATGCTGCATCGGCTGATGATTCTTCGGATGATAATACACATCAAATTGATGATATTAATATTAATTATAACAAAATGACTCCAGCCGATACACAAGATGAAGAAGGAGACCTTATTATTGCTCCTCAACCAAAAATATCAAACGAATTTTCTCATCAAGCTGAAATAACAAATAACATTAATAACAATTCTGGTAAGCCGTTTATATCGTTTTCGGCTTCAACAGCTGAAGAGAACTTACATTTTGGAAGTAATGGACCATCTGTACGAGGAAACAGTGACCTTGAAACTGTTCCGAATGGTTTAAGAAAAGCTATTATTGAAGGTTATAATGTTAATTTGGTTCGTCTTCTTCTTCTTCGAGACAACAAAAAATATAATCGTAATGATGATGTTGATGAAGACAAAAATGTTTATCTTAAACAAAAGGATGATCATCGTTTACATAAAAACCTTACTATTCTTGAATTTATATTAGCTTTTACACATTATTTAAATATCATCGATGAAGTTTTTCCTCAACGACGGCGTGAATTAACAGCTTATATGCGTGATATAATTTGTTTATCTTCTCGGTTCGGCCATCCTTTTTTTCTATCATTACCACCGTTTATTTGCTCAAAAAGCTGAAACTCTCTTGCAAACACGTAACATTTTGATCGATAGTCCAAACTAGACCACGATATTTATTTGAATGTCTTCTCTGAATTACAACCAATGGTTTGTGATTTATGTCGAAGTCCAGACCATTCCACATCTTTTTGTAAAAAAATACTCAATCGGAATGATTTAATCGAAAAAATGTTATCGGAAAATCACGATCGTTTTCCATTTTCAACATCATCAAGAGTTTCTTTTCGTCAAGTTTTAGGTAGTGATGATATTAAGCAAGATTCTGGTTCTACTTGTAAATTTTATAATGGAGCAGGTTTCGGAAAATGTGTTCAACCGAATTGTCGTTTTCTTCATTTATGTTCTCGTTGTCGAGGTACACACCCCAGAAAATTGTGTAATATCAAATAAATTGACATTATATATAAAGTGTATTGCTGCTATGAAAAAAATACATATGAACTGTACTGCTGCTATTAATAATATTAATAATTATTATTAAAAAATAAGTTTAAATACTCCTACAAGTACGAATAATATAATAAATATAGAAATATTTTATAAAAATCAAGCATTCTCTAATAGAGTATGTTTTTTTTTTCATTTAAATTGAATTAACGTATTTATGAGATGAGTCGCTGAATTATGTTTGCTATAATTGATCTAATTATCCTTTATTTATAGTTATCAGTTGCTCTATGAGCATTCCTCTGGTAGCAACTACGCCAATTGATATCTGTGGATTGGAGCAAGAATTGGCTGGTCATCCTGATAAGAAATTTACTTCATTCTTGTTATCAGGCTTCCGTGAATGTTTTGATACTGGTATCTCCAACATACCTAATAAACCTTTAGAATACCCCAATTTACGATCAAGACACCGTGATCCTGAAAATGTTAATCGTTTAGTGGCAGAAGAACTTAACAAATGTTTCCTAATCGGTCCGTACAACTCTGCATCTTTTTTAATTATCGAATAAATCCTATTGGTTTGGTTGAATCGAAATATTCAAAAAAGAAACGTTTAATTGTTGATTTATCTGCTCCTCATAATGATAAAGACCATCCAAGTATCAATTCTTTAATCGATAAAGATTCCTATTCTCTATCATATGTTACTGTCGATGATGCTATTAAAAGTATTCAGAAATTAGGAAAGAGTGCCTGGATGAATAAAGCTGATATTCAAGATGCTTTTAAATTGCTTCCCATTAAACAATCTCTATGGCCTTTCTATAGCATTAAGTGGAATAATAACTATTATTTCTTTGTATGCTTACCATTTGGTTCGCCTAGTTCACCTAAATTATTTGACAGGTTAAGTGAAGCTATTTTTTAGATTGCTGAACATAATTATGGTATTAAAAACATGTTACATTTATTGGATGACTTTTTTCTAGTAGACAGTCCCGATGATGGTGGAGAACGAACATTTGCCATGATTAGTTTTATTTTCAATCGACTTAAAATTCCTTTATCAGTAAATAAAACCGTCCGTCCTGTTCAAGAAATTGAATATTTAGGTATTATTCTTGATTCAAATCGCATGGAGGCGAGATTACCTCAAGAAAATGTATTACGTATCATGGAAATGATGAGACCTTTACTTAATCGATGTAAATGTAAAAAATGTGAATTACTAGTTGTCCTAGGTCACACGTTATTTGCATCCAGGGCTGTTATTCCAGGCAGAACATTTGTTCATTATTTATTCAACTTGACCACTTATGTTCGATCTCTATAATCACATATTACCATTACTCGACAAGCCCAACTCGAGCTAACAATGTGGTATCGACATTTGCATGAATGGAACGGAACTTTTTTTCTTTCTTGGTCTTAATATTTTCATCAATACTGATTTGGCTTTCTCTACGGATGCTAGTACAACTGTCGGGTGTGGTGCTGTTTTTGGGAATGAGTGGTTTGCTCACCGATGGTCTGAGCAAATGCTTAATCTTCCAGAAAATGAAAAATCAACAGCATTTTTCGAGATTATTCCTATCGTTATTGCCGCAGGTTATGAGGCTCTCAATGGAAGAGGAAGCGAATTTGTCTTTTATGTGATAATCAGGCTACAGTTAACATCATTAATAAAGGTCAATCAAGAAGCTCTTTTATTATGGCGTTTACGCGTAGATTAACTTTACTTGCTATGCAACATCAATTTTTATTGCGAGCTGTTTATATTTCTACATATGAAAATAATTTAGCAGATTCTCTGTCTCGTTTACAGATAAATCGCTTTCGTCAACTATTACCAACCGCCAGTCAATATCCGAAAAACGTTCCTTCAATGAAAGACTTAACCTTTCCATCGATCGAATCGATAGTATTGTAACTAATTTATTTAATAATGCTATTTCTTCAACTTCGAAAACATCATATTCTTCTGGTTATCAACTTTTTATTCGTTTTGCAGCTATATCCGGTTTGAACATGCATTCTTATCGTTTACCTCATAATGCTATTTTACGTTTCATAGCATTTTGTCATGGTATTCGTAACATTCGATATTCTACAATTCGCTCTTACTTAGCTGCTATTTGCCTTTATCGTTTACGTGCTGGTTTTTCTGATCCATTTTTAGATATGCGCAGTTATAAACTACCACAAATTGAAATGATTCTTAAAGGCGCACGACGTTTAGATTTTTTACCCACCATACAATGCAAACCTATTACCATCGATATTCTAAACAAATTAATTGGCGTATTACGATGCGGTATATTTAATCCTTATCTCGATACATTAATGCAAGCAGCACTTACTACCGCATTTTGGAGTTTCTTCAGATCCGGTGAATTATTTCCTGATAAATTTTCTCCACGCTTACATGTTACAAAAGCTGATATTCAATGTGATATAAACTGTATTATTATTCATTAAAAATTATTAAAAACTCATATAGAACGGAGAGGACCGAATATTCGTTTGTTTAAAAACGGATCTATTAATTGTGCAGTTCATTCTCTAAATTATTTTACTCTTCTTCGCAACGGCAATAATCATGATTCTCCTTTCTTTCTTTTACCCAACGGTCAAGCATTAACTCGTCGTGCTTTTATCTTCAATTTAAGACATTTATTGCTTCAATTAGGTTATGAAGCTTCTGCTTATAGTGAACATAGTCTATTAGTAGAAGCAGCTACATCTGCAGCGGCGGCTGGTGTTCCTGATCATTTAATAAAAACCCTAGGTTGTTGGAAGTCGTTGTCTTATTTATATTACATCCGTGTTAGTGACACTGTAATTCTTAAAGCTCATAATGAATATTGCAGTTTTTTTCTTAGTTATTTAGTCTGTTTATTGCTTTTTCTATATATTTTCTTTTGTTTTGGGTGTGAAGCTCTCATCTTGCGATAGAGCTTCTTGTGGCGTTTAAAGTGCCCGAAAATAACTATAAAAAAATATCTTTAACTTTATTTTTATTGTATTTAATTGTTTTGTTTTTGTCACTTTGTACTTTGGCAGTAAATACATATGTGCCCAACTCGCCACTATATAAATAACAGTCTTCTCATAGAGAGATCGACATGAATATAAAATTAAAATATCGTATTTTGTTTTTTGCATCTTGATTGTCTAATGACAAATTTCATGAACCTATAATAGAGCTTCTTTAAATATTTACTCAAGAAACTAATTACTCTAACAAATCAACAAGTTTTTGTAAAATTTATTCGAATAACTCAAAGTGATCAGTGTCATTCATACAAGGTCTCCTGACACCTGTTTGTATTTCTTGACCTATGGAATTACACAAAGAAAAAGATTAAATATTTTGATTTTCAATAATTTTCAATTCATAGATTTCGCACTCTTTTCATGATACTCTTGATAGGAACTGTTAACACCAGCTGGAAAAGCTACTGTAGTAGGTTTCTCTATCTACTATATTCAATTTATTCTTCCATTGATTATTCATTGTCCTTAAATTTTATGCGGTGTTTATTAACCATCAACATGTGTAAATTGTGGTACTTAGGAAAATACTATCGGGGTTAAATGAATTTCGCTCTCACCCCCTTTGTGTTTTTTGTTTTTCTTACTATACTTCTTTTATTTATTAATCCACTATATATAGCGAGAAAGTCCGAAGCGCGCTGTATCTTTTTACATATTTACTTTGAGCATCAAATGTAGTTTAAAGTGTAAAAAATGTGTTAGAAAAAAAAAGTGTCATTTTTTTACTACAATATCGAGCGTCCATAATATTGTAACATTTTTTATTTCACATATATCTTGGCTTAGATAGAAGATCAAATCTTGAATTTTTTTTCAAAGAATGTGCTGTGAAAGGCTCTACAAAACCTGTATCATTGAATTCCAGTTTACCTGTTATAATGGTTTTTCTTATACTCAAAATGAACAACTTACATGACAGTGTCACATCCCATACTATTAAAAATGTTTGGAGCACTTTTTTGTTTCACTATATGAGTTGGTTCATACAGCTTTTGTAGAGCTTTCGACGGCACATCTTTTTAAAAAAAAAATCAATATTCTATCATTTTCTCAAGTCGAGATATATGCAAAACAAAAAGTGTTCCAAACATTTTCAATATTATGGGATGTGACACTGTCATGTAAGTTGTTCATTTTGAGTATAAGAAAAACCATTAGAACAGGGTATCTGTAATTCAATCATTCAAGTTTTATAGAGCTTTTCACAGCGCATCCTTTGAAAAAAAATTCAAGATTTGATCTTCTATCTAAGCCAAGATATATGTGAAATAAAAAATGTTACAGTGTTATGGACACTCGGTATTGTAGTAAAAAAATGACACTTTTTTTTTCTAACACATTTTTTACACTTTAAACTACATTTGATACTCAACGCAAAGATATAAAAAGATGCAGTGAGTTCCGGGCTTTCTCGCTATATATAGTAGATCGATAAATAAACGAAATATAGTAATAAAAAGAAAAACAAACAAACAGGAGAAATTCAATTGGCCCCGATAGTAGATCAGCTTACAGAAGCACATTTCGGGCATGAGTGTGGGTAAACCGAAATATACTATTCCATCGAACACAACAAGATCTATCGAAATTAGGTCTATCTGCGTCCGACTTACCCCACTTCCACATCTTAATATGCTGGCATAGACATGAGAGGAAATACTGAAAGGTATTTCTGTTCAATGGGTGCGTGTGGATGTGAGTCTTTTCTTGAAACAAACTCACACCCACAACAACACGTATTTCCGCATCGACATGCCCTTCCAAACTCGCACCCCACGCCCACACCCTAGAGCTCAAACAATAACAGATTATTAGCATCATATGTATACTATAATTGGTAAAAAATCACATTTTTCTGATAACTGATTGAAGCTACATAAGCAAAGGAGAATTGTGTCACTGTATGGTTGAGCATGCCTATATATGTAATAATTTATGAATATATGTGATTATGTCTATATATTTCCAATACTCTCTACTCCTCAAATGCAAAAACAAGGGATATAGACAGTATTCAGAATTATTAATATATAACAATAAATGATTATTAATACTTCTAATGTCTGATAGTGGACGCATCTGAAAAATGGGAGTATATCAAGTGGAAAAAGCGAGATTTCAATGTTGAGAACTACGAACGAAGTACAGTATTACATTGATACTTCACTGCACTTCAGTCATACTTCAGGATACCGAAATTTTGCTTTTTTCCAGTGGGGCATATACATATTTATATTATCATTTATATTTGTTTATACAGATACATATATAAATGATTGTATAAATATATATATGTATATATAACCTTTTTTCTGGAAGAAGAACTAGAGGATATAGGCAGCAGTGTTCAGACCTCCAAAAAAATACAATAAATTTTCCATATAAAATCGAGTATTTTAATATAATGGATGCGGCAGAATAAACGGTGGTCTCATTATTTTTCTAATATCTCAATCTTTTTTTTAGACATCTCAAAACAAACTTTTTTTTTATCATAATATTCAGCTTTCAATTCTCTACAAAACTATATATTTCTTTTAATTAAAACATACTGCATAGGTTTTTGACAATCAATACAAACAATTCGTCTGATATATGCAACTTTCTAATTTAGAGTTTTGTTGAAACTGTCTTATCAAACTTATTGATTATTCCAGGTTCTTATTGACATGAGGCAGCACACTGTTGTTGTATCATCATTGAGCAAAATATTGAGTGATGGTTTTACATAAGATTAAAAAGATTTTCATGTACTCCTAAGGACTACAGTAATTTCATGTCTCTGAAATCAAAGAAATATCTTCACTCTCATGAATCATAGGAATAAGTTATAGAGCACTAAGTGAAAATTCAAACATTTTAGTAAAACTTACCTACCATTGATTAACTCAATGATGGTACAACGAAAGTTTGCTGCCTCATGTCAATAAGAACTTGGAATAATCAATAAGTTTGATAAGACAGTTTCAACAAAACTCTAAATTAGAAAGTTGCACATATCAGAAGAATTGTTTGTATTGATTGTCAAAAACCTATGGGATACGTTTTAATTAAAAGAAATATATATAGTTTTGTAGAGAATTGAAAGCTGAATATTATGATTAAAAAAAGTTTGTTTTGAGATGTCTAAAAAAATTTTGAGATATTAGAAAAATAATGAGACCACTGTTTATTCTGCCGCACCCGTTACATTCTATTATGCTTGCAAGTTCATACTAATGTTTGTTGTATTCACTTATATATTTATTAAATAACTCAAACAAAATTCGTATAATATTTACTATTTACTGTTACCATAAAAAGAAAATGCTACCTCTAGCTCGTGTAACATGGATCGAATATTTAGGAAAGATTCGAAAAAAAACGCTAAAAATTGAAGTAGTACTTTTGGGATTGTTGCAAATGCTCTAATTTTTTATTTAAGAAAAAAGATATGCTTCTTTGTCAACAATAGTTCTAAATGAATATTCTGTTTTAATTCCAGAAATCAATGTATGACACTGATTTAAAATCGTATAAACAAGTAAAATTAATATACCATTTGCATTCAATTGTTTCATAGAGTTATATATTTTCGAATTCCGCAAAAAGTTTTTTTTTTTTGTAATAAAATATAATGTGACAAAAGTCAGAGAAAAGACGAAAATTTATTTATTTTACGGAATGAACTGATGATGAAATCGATGTTTGAATTGATATAAATTTTTCCAAAAAAAAAAAATGTTCTATCTAATGACGCTTGGTAAATTATAGAAAGTGTTAAAAACGAAAGCATCTTTATTTGATTAATAGCAAATAAGAAATGTTTGGATTATATAATATTTTAAGTACGTAATAAAAATATATTCGACGAATTTTGCAATGATTTTGATATAAAATTCTATAGTCTCGTTTTAATTTTTACTTTTTATATTATAGAATCAATCTTTATTTAAAATTTTCAGCATAAAATGTCGAAAAAAAAAACCAGACAAAAATTGATGAAATTCATGACGAGAATTGAAGAGATTTGAATTTTTATAATAATGCTCATGATCCATGTTTTTTTTCTAATAATTGTTGTTGAATTTGTTGTTGTTTTATTAAATTTATCTGTTTGCTATTATAAATAGATTTTTCTAAATAAGTTGCAATATTCTAAAGAAAATATTCCATTGAAAATTATTACAAATAAAAATTGATTTTACATTTAAATGTTCATCACTAGTTTGAAGTGATTTAACAGCATCAACACTATATTCAACATCAAAAATGAGACCATTCATACGATCATGTAAATTTTCAAGTTCTATTCGTTTTTGTATCATCGTAGGTAAAGATTTTCGTACATGTTCCTTAGAAATAAAAAAAAGAAAATTTATCAGACGAAAAAAATTATTCTGTTCATTTACTTGTATTCGATAGAAAGCTAATGATGGTTCATTGGCATTCGATTGTATTGTTTCATTTATAGCACGTGTAGATGAACGTACTTTAGTTTCTATATCTGGATCTAAACGATTTGGTGAAGAATTCAAACGAGATTCTATTAAACTTGATGATGATATCATATTTACAAAAATAAAATATCTAAATAAATCCTTCAACATATTACTAAATAAGAGTGATATCCAATGGAACGAGTTTTCTATTGGTGACCTCTATTGTCAAAGTCCGCGATTGATATATATCAATCTCACTTTGTTTCACAGCAATAGAAAATGTATTTTTTTAAGATTCAAGAAAAAAATATTGTATTTTACACTTGCTCAGAACAATTAGTACCGATGTCTTAAATAGCTTTGAAAATATGTATTACTACATTAATTTTCACCTTATTCCGTCACTATCCGTCATTCCATTCGATGAGCTTACAAAAAACAGCGGCGTGATAACGCTAATTATCGCCGCTTCATATCGTTTACAGCAATGGTTTCTTGGACCTGGGTTAGTCGAGAAAATAAAACAGGAAAAGAACTTTGCTTGTTTCTTTGAGACATGATTAGAAAATTACTCGTCTTCTTCTTGTTTATAATTATATATCTTCGAATTTCAAATGAACTTACATAATAATTTTTTTTTCCTATTGAATTTTCTCTTTTTTGTTCTAGATTTCCAAACTTGTACCTTCTACATATTCTCTTCATTAGTTCTTTTAGGTCGTATCGAATTAGGAATTTCAATCGAACGAAATTCATGATAATTCTACGAATCGTTTAATATAAACAATCAAGAACAATAATAATTTGTTGCATTTTATCGTTTTTTTTATTTCTAATATACTTTTAATAGTAAAAATTAATTCAGAGAAGTATGTCTTAAAATATATGTACATGTTTATCATCATCTGTATATTATTTTCCCATATTGCTTTTGTACGCACGGATATTTTTTTTTTCATTCATAGATATGAATATTCATAACTTTGTCTTTGTTTCTATAAATCAACTTTCGGCCATTGTACTTTGCTATTTCGAACAACATATTAACAGATATTTTGTTCATGCAAACGAGCTACTTTTTTGTCCTTTGTTTCAAGTTTCGATTGGAAACCCTGCATGTATTAAAAAGTATATACACAGTTTACTCATTAGTTTACATTTAAATTAATTCTTGTTTTCTACAATTATTGATGAATAGTTTGTAGAATACAAACAAACTTATATTTTAAAACTAATAAATTCGTTTTTTTTTGATAACAAGGGAAGAAGAAACCAATTGATTTCTATACTAGAAATTATCATAACGTTTTAAAGATACCAATAATGACTCGAAGTAGTTAAAAATTATCAAAAGCCACCAGAAGCCATTAGAAAGCATAGAAAACCTTCAGTAATAAGATTAAAAGTGACGTCCTAATTGCTATTCATTTGCGGTATACAAATAAAGACTTATCCGATGATAGAAATCACAAGAAATCTGTTCGTTGCCTTTGTAAAAAGGTAGAAATCTGCTTTTTTTCCAAAAAAATTTGCATTAAATTCATAGTTAATTTTAAGATTAAAAAAGTCGTAGAAAGGAATCTTTTTACGATAGAGTTCAGGCATGTCTTGAGATCATCAGATTTTGAGAAAGGTATTTTCAGAAAATTATCGAACAAAACGAAACACTAAAGCACTAAAGAAAAATGAAAATCCTGATCAAATTATCTGCTAAATGAATAGTAGAAATTATTAAGAATCAAATATTGATAATATAACTTGACAATTTCAATGAATTGGATAATTGTTAAAGTTATAATTCATCTAAAGGTGTAAGCCGAACAGCTGAACGACCACCACCATCACATAAATATCTATACTAAAATTTTGAATGTTGTCGATATCCAAGATCAATCTTGAGGATTCTTCTAGTTTAGTTTTTTATTATGAAGTTCTCTATTATCATTTTTTCTTTTCTATTCCAAAATTTCTCGAAACCAACAAAACTTTTGAAAAGATCATTAAACAATTTCAGCCGCTGCTAATCGAAACATTGACTTACATCTCTAAAACTCGTTTAATATAATGCACTTGAGATTTTGAAGATCTTATGTTCAAATTTTTAGATTATTTATGGCACAGAAGTCCCCATCGAAATTTATTTTACTTCATCCAATTGAAAATCATCGTACGACATGTCAGAAAACAAAAAATTCACCATTAAATACAACACAAAATATTAGTACTAATACTGATAATATACAATTGAATCGTGATATATCTACAAATACACCTAATTATGCTGAACAAATGGCTAAAGCATTAGATAATGGTAATGCTGCTGAAGAAATTGTTCAAATGCTTATGCAAAGTATAAAAGAAGATAAACTCAAAAGAAAAACAAATAGATAAGTTGCTTTTTGTTTCTTGTATATTTTAGATGAAGCTTCTGAATCTTATTGGAAACTAATGACCGAACGACGAAAAGAAGCTATTGAAGAAACAATTGTTGAAAATCAACAAGTACATTAAATGAGTTGAATTTATATTTAATCTATTTGTTTTTTTTGTTTTTCTAGTTACATAATCTTATTGATGATTTGAGTAAAGAAAATGAACAACTTCGTATTTTGTCTGGTCATTGTGATTACTTACAAAATGTTCTCAATGTAAAAAAATGTTGTTTTTTTTTATTAACGATTTTTCATATGTCCTTGTTGTTTTAGTCGTTTACTAATGAACATGATAGTCTTCTTGATGATAGTTCAACCAATTGACATTGGCGAAACAAAATGAACTTTGATATATGTGTGTGTGTATATTTTTCTTAATGTCTATGTACAAAATTCAAAACGAGTTTTTATTTGTTAAATCATGTTATATTTCATTCAAAACGAAAGCAAGATATTTTTGAATAAAATTCTCGAAAATATGAAAGCTTTTCATTATAACATATATGCAAAATATCTTGACACACTATGATTGTTCAACTTTTGTTCACTTATAAGTGATGAGAGATAATCAAAAATAGTCGACTACATGACACAATATTGACAGCGCGTGATACTTTCACGTAAAATCTGTATTTTGAAGGTAAGGATGGAAGCAGTCGCACAAACTCGCTCAACGGAAGCAAAATCTGGTAGACTCTTAGATATCTTATTATACCTTTGCAGAGTTTGTACATTCACTAAACTAACGAAGCAGCTATCTCAGTTGTAATCAGCTGTTTGGTGAACTCACAAGGACGTTTCGGTAGGTTCAGAAAAATTCTAAAAGGGTTCATGACCATTGTTCTACGCAGCTGACCTATGATCGTTTTACTAATTTTTCGACCCACTTTGAGATGTTTATAGAAAAAACTTATAATGGCGTTTCGATCTAAAATTCATTTCATAGATAGCTTTAATGATCCTTAGAATATTCTGGAAGTTTCAATCGAAAACAATGTTTATTTGTCGAGATATAATGTATTTTCGAGTACTTCTGTCTTTTTGTTATTGTGAAGAATTATATTTTCAACGAATTTACTTTATATAATAAACTATATGTCATAAGAATTGACAGCTACAAACAATTTTCGAGCAGTGATTCTTTTTAAACAACATAGCATTGTCTTTTGAATTTAACTACTGAAAATGCAACATGTATCGATCAATTGTAGCAAAATGTAAAATGATAAACAAATATGGCATCTAGTTGATCTAATCTAGTACTACAAACGGATGTTTGAAAAGATTTTGTAGATATCTTTTGACACAAATTCTTAATCCTTTCTGAATTTTATCTGTTTTATTCAGAGCAAAGTTTGAGTTGAAAATAAGTAGCAGTACACTGTCTTTCATATAAATGGCATTGAAAGATTAGTTCTTCTCTTCCTTCTCCCTCTTATTCTTAAATTATTATGAAAATCTTATACAGAATGTTGCACCTAACTGAGATTCAAAATGTTCCACCATCTATTTGACTTCAGATAGCTAACGTATTGGGCACGAATTCTCTAAGATTACTACTAGTCTCATTGAACTTTATTCATAGTCAACATATCAGCTCGATCAGTGCGTTACTCTTGCGAAGGTTCCATTGTTAGACGGATCAATACAATAGATATAGTCAATTTTGATGGATTTTTATCTTTATTTGTAATCTTTGTGTTTATTTAACAACATCGATTAGTTTTTTTTTCATTTTATTTACAAGAGTGAAACACAAAATAAACACAACAAAATATTTATGTATATATATATATCTGTCTATCTATTTATAGTTCATAGAATTGTTTTATCTTGAATATCAAAACAAGCGTACACGAACTGATGATGTATTTGCACTTTCAATATTATCTTCACTAGTTAATTTCTAAAAATAAGGCAAATTTAGTTTAATAAAATACATGATGTCTATTGTTTTACTTCAATAATATCAGTTAAATATTCACAATGATCAGCAACAGCACGTAAATTTTCATTATCTTTATTTAATCCATCAACAATTTCATGAAGCTGCAAAGAAGAATATTAATTCTTTCAACAAAGAATATATTTTATATCAATTACTTGTTGATTTTCACGTGTTACTTCTTCAAGTTTAATTCGATAATGTTCAGCCATAATATGCCAATAAGAGTTCGGTGCTGTTTCTAAACCATACAATAAAAGACATCAATATTATCATATTATTTTATTGATTGAATAAAAAATTTACTTTGAACAAATGTTTCAAATTCATTTGTTGGCATTCGTAAACCAGCCCGAATAATTGATGAAATATCAGGAGTTGTTTCTTCAATAGGTATTAATTGTTTACAAACAGCACTCTTTTTCTTTACTATTTTTGCATCAATTATAACAGGCGCATTCTAAACAATAATATTTTCTATAGAAAATAGTTATTTGAAAATAAAAACGGGAAAGAGAACACCTTGTTTACAGTCTTATCAATTCTGCTGCATATGAAAATATATTCAAACTGGCTCCAGATTGCAGGATTAGCCACACGTTTTTGCTTTTAATTCAGATATATCTTCGAATCGTAGCTAAGACTTACGAAAGAACATACTCAAATGTCCCTCTTAGGAACGAAATGAAATATGGTCGAGAACTTTTCAAAAATCAAGTATCACAGAATTAACTGAAAAATATTACGTTTCGTAAAGTCTTTTCTATTCATTTTCTTTAAAAAAACGTTTTCAGGTCGGTTAAAAAACAACAGAGATCGAATGCAAATATTGAAATGTCTGAATATTTACTTACATATTTGAACATACGTCTTAATATTTTCATCCGATTTCTGCTATTTTTTAAGCAAATTGATAAATGATTTTTACATAAATGATCCCACAAGAATTCTCTACCAGATAGACTCGACCTCATATCATGTCTAGACAGTAGACTTTAATATGTTTTTTTATGAAGAAAGTTTTCGGAGACGAAGCTGTTCACGAGAGAACTTCTCCAGGTAGAAAATTGCTTTTCCATCGAGATGATATTTATTTGATGTGCATTAAAAGTGTCTAAAATCGTTGGGTTTTTCTAGTTTTTGTTTTTGAAATATCGAAATTTTACTGGATTTTACCATTAAAAAATTTATTCTCCTCAGGTTACGTGAAAAAACCGACTTTTCACGAACTGAATTCTCATTGAGATTAGCTCATCGAATAAGTTATAACTTTCCTAGTACCTTCTATCCTAAGATATTCGAAATTCTCTCATGTCTAAAAGCAAATTTTCTTCGTATACTTACATCTTCAAAAAGAACATAATATAAAAACTAAACTCATTAAGATATTTGTTCATGTGAAATTGAAACTCTCACGTGATCTGAAAGGCTTACAGTTAACTCAGAAAAATTTCGATATCTCAAGAACGAAAAACCGACTTATCGTAGAATTTTCTTTCATTCAGTAGTACTCATCAAATGAGCATCGACTCGGTTAAAAAGCAGCTGAACATTTCGAAGTTCTCTCATCATCTCAGACTGTAGCTGCGACCCAATCTAACGCAATCACAATGATCATTGTCTCAATTAAGTTATACAGATATTTCAGCAATAAATTGTAAGTTTTAAGAATATTGAAAAAATACTTTTACTTTACCTTTTTTGTTGACGATTTAGGCGACAAAATTCGACTACTTTCAAATGTATTGACAGATAATTGTTTAAGTGGTACTTTTGCCATCTTTTATTTTCCTAAATATAATAATCTGAAACATACATAAGAATATATTATTTATTCATCTTCATATCAACAAGACTATTATTTATTCTGTACAAAAAAAAGAAAAGATAATAAAACAACACGAACTGTTTACATTCGACTGCGACGTGTTGTTCGTTTACTTTTTGATTGTAAATTTGTATTGATTGTTGTTGATTTTCCCGTATTGGAAAGAATTTTTTGTGCTACATCATTTGTTCTTCGAGCTTTTTTTATTGCATGATGTCCAATGGATGCATTATTATTATTATTATTCTGATTACTACCTGATTCATGAAGAATACTTTCTATTAAATCATCAGTTATATGACGACTTATATAATTCCAAGTTTTTAATGGAGCAGTTTCATTTGAATCTTTTCGAAATTCAATTGTTTTCTTTTCATTTAAATCATCTTAAATTTTTCAAAATAAAACTAATTTAAAATATTTATAGAATAATTCAACTTACAAGCAATTAATTGATCATTAATAGATTTTTTTCGTATCGATGGTAATATAGTTAAATTAGTTAATTGACGCCATAAATCAATTTCACGTCTATGAAAAAATAAAAAAATTCTATTTTATTTATGATGAATAAATAAATTTACTTTTTACATATTAAATCTTCGATAGCTTGATTTTCTTGTTGTAAATGTTCTTTTAAGTGATTATTTTTTGTTTGAATTCTTTGAATTAATTCATCAAGTATGACATTAGAAGTATCCGTTGTTTCTTCATTTTTTGGAACATGATCTAAGGAAAACAAAATACTATGATTTCATACAAAATAGTAAAAGGATCCATACAAGTTCGATAACATGATCGACGAGATTTACGAATAGTTCGAAAGTCTAAATAAAATTTTAATAGTAACTTTTGTTTTAAGAAAGACATTTATTGATAGTAACCTGTTTTTGAATTAGCAACAATTTCATCAACAGGGGGCAATTGCATTGAAAGAAATACATCACGAATTGATGTTTCACTCATGATAAAGAATTTTCGAATAACTCTATTTAAAAAAAAAACGAAGACGAAGACAAAGCGTTGAGGACAAAGACTATGTAGTGGACTAATAAAGAAATCGCCGGAAGATAGAGGACGCTAGTAAATGAAAAACAAAAGGGTTATCAGAGTGGACATTATGACTGTTGTAAATGGTCGTCTAAGGTACATATTACGATCGTATTACTCGATCCTTGAATTACGAATGTATCTAATCGTGTCGTTTACGAGGTGTATACGTCCACGCTACACTGTGAGAACAAGAGAGGAAAGGGGCGAAATTCTCTTAATCTCCTATCGTAAGTAAACGAAAAATAATTTATATATTTAAATTACTACTTATTGTTGCATATTTTATTCAGGTGAACTGAAACAGGAAAAGCAGTTTAATTTCCCTAAACAAATACTTACCATCGAACTTAATGTTGAGAGAAATCTGAGTAAAAAATATGGGCTTTATTTTTTTTAATTGATACTGACCATTGAATTTGATGTTAGATTCAAAAGAAAGTCTTGATTGAAATGGGTATCTCAACTCATGACGACGCTACAACCGTGTACGATAGTCGT